ATCCTGATATTTGGGCATCTCACTTCAGATTGGCTAACATCAATTCAGCTCTACCACAGACACGTTTTGCTTTGCATCTGGGATGTTTTTTTCACAAATAACTTAAGCCTGAAGTAGTTCTGTTGTATGGTGGAGTTGCTAATGCTAACGGTTAGCGTCAAGGTGCTCTCTGCTGTTTTCTGGAAGCTAAATCAACAACTTACTTCCATGTCGTGAGTCAAGATGGGTGTTGTTTTCATGTTCAGCCTGCATGAAAAACGCATCAGTGATCTACGCCTTTAAACATGGTAACACTTTGCAATAGGGGCCCCTTTATTAACGTTATTGTTAACTATTAAGTGTCCTTAAGGTTAGGACAAAGGGCCAGGTGGTGTGTTTGTGTGTGCTTTGTAATGCAGTACATATTAGGGTTTAGCAGTTAATACTTTAGTAGTTGATTAATGCACTAAGTAACATTAATAAAGAAACCCATTTTGTAAAATGTTAGCAAACAGTTTTTAAACATCCATTTAAACTGACTGAACCAGCTTTTGCTCTCGATGTTTTAGTCTGTTCTATAATGTGTTCAGACAACTGAAGCATTTTTCAGTGATGCCTTACTCAAATATAGAAAATGTGCTCTTCATCACTGAACGAATCTGGGAGGAAAACCTACAAACCCATTTTCCTGACTGAGCGACTGTCATTTCATATTGATTGAATAATACTTTACTGTCGTGTTTCCTACCTACGGAACACTACCGGATTCTGCCCGAGCCAGAATCGAATAGAAACATTGCAGCAAGCGTTATTAACAAGGCTGCAAATTTAAATGTTTCTATAGGAATTATTGAGCTGCAGCATAATTATTAAATGTTCAATAATTTAATAAAACTTTCACCACAGGTTAAAACCTTGATGTGAAACACTCTTTACCCCCTTACAGCTTTCTTATGTTTTGTTTTGGTTTTTTTGTCACACTTACATTTTTCAGATCAGTAAAGCAAATTTGCATCAGAACCAGGCCATCCATACATTTTCAGCCGCTTATACGGAGTCGGGTCACGGGGGCAGCAGCTTAAGCCGAGAGGCCCAGACTTCCCCCTCCCCAGCCACTTGGACCAGCTCTTCCGGGAAAATCCCAAGGCGTTCCCTGCCCAGCCAAGAAACATGGTCCCACCAGAGTGTCCTGGGTCTTCCCTTGGGTCTCCTCCCAGGTGGACGTACTGGCAAACCTCACGAGGGAGGCGTCCAGAAAACATCCTGACCACCTCAACTGGCTCCTCTTGATGTGGAGGAGCAGCGGGTCTACTCCAAGCCCCTCCCGGATGACCGAGCTTCTCACCCTATCTCTAAGGCAGAGCCCAGCCACCCTGTGTAGAAAGTCATTTTGGCCGCTTTTATCTGCGGTCTCATTCTTTCGGTCACTACCCAAAGCTCGTGACCATAGGTGAGGGTAGGAACGTAGATCGGCCGGAGCTTTTTCTTCCGGCTCAGCTCTCTCTTCACCATGACAGATCGGCACAACACCTGCATCACTGCAGATGCAGCACCAATTCGCCTATCGATCTCAAGCTCCATTTTCCCCCTCACTTGTGAACAAGACCCAGAGATACTTAAACTCCTCTACTTGAGGCAGGACCTCGTCTCTGACCTGGAGATGGCATTCTACCCTTTTCTGTTCAGGAAAAGACAGCCTGAGTAAATCTATAATCCAAACCAACATGGTCCTATGTGAAGAAAGCCATTTCCCCCTTGTTATATTAGGAATTGACAGAGATTAACGACAGTTATACTAGCCAGACCTGATTACTATCAGACATGTAGGGATCAAGAAATTAATAGACTTAATTGGCTGTAACATCTCACAAGCAAGACATGACCCATTCTGAATCAATTCAAAACAGAAGAAAGCACACTAAAGCACAGAAGGCCTTAATCTGTTAAATTTGAGATCAGAATTCATGATTAAACAATGACAAAGAGAAATGCATCATGGGAGAATTATCTCTGCCTTCCATCTGACAACTACAAAAAAGAGCATCATGATTTTGGGAAAATACACATGTGGATCTTTGTGTTACATCTGCAGACAAACAAGAATACCATCCCTTACCCTAAACATTAGGGTGGTCGAGTTTGGGTCAGAAATTAAAATGTGACAAACAAAAGCCATGTTTCTAATGAATACTTACAAAAATTGGTGTTACTTGGAAATCGTTTTTGAGAGGCTTGTTTGCCTCAGCTGATGCATTTTCCCAGTAAACAAACTGTGACCTCAAAGTTAAGTTTGCATCAAATGTCTAGTTTTGGAAGGTTAACAGTTTTGGAGTTACACCACGGATCTTCCCGGCCAAAAAAGTTGCCATTTGGATTTAACATATTTAAGCAAAGAGGTATGAGCCTCCTATTGGATAATTACTGGGCAATTATCCTGTAGCTGGCAACAAGTTATTTAACCCCAACTGGTACTTCTCATTTCTTAAACAAACATGTGGAAGGACACATCTGGTGGTCGTGGAAAAGATGTTAGTGTGTGAAAAGGGCCAGATCATTGGATCAAGCAGAGAAAACATCTAAAGAGATTGCAGAAATGACTAAAACTGGGTTAAGAACTGTCCAACTCATTATTAAAAACTGGTCTGATGAGTCCTAATGGACCCTGTTCCAGAGTGATGGGTGCATCAGGGTAAGAAGAGAGGCAGATGAAGTGATGCATCCATCATGCCTAGTGCCTACTGCACAAGCCTGTGGGGGCAGTGCTGTGACCTGGGGTTGCTGCAGTGGGTCAGGTCTATGTTCAGAAACAGGATGTGCTCCAAGAATGAGGTCAGCTGACTACCTGGATATACTGAATGACCAGGTTATTCCATCTTCCCTGATGGCACGGGCATATTCCAAGATGGCAATCCCAGGATTCATTGGGCTCAAATAGTGAAAGAGTGGTTCAGGGAGCGTGAGACATCATTTTCACACCTGGATTGGTCACCACAGAGACCAGACCTTAACCCCGTTGAGAGTTTTTGGGATGTGCTGGAGAAGGCTTTGTGCAGCGGTCAGACTCTACCATCATCAACGCAAGATCTTGGTGAAACATTAATGCAACACTGGATGGAAATAAATCCTGTGACATTACAGAAGCTTATCGAAACAATGCCACAGCAAATGTGTGCGATAATCAAAGCTAAAGGTAACAGAGTAACAGAGTCTGACCTTTCTCTTGGTGGCAATTCTTTTTTGGGCCGGGCAGTGTATGTGCATAAAAGAATGAGATTATCAGAAAATCTGAGGAAATGAGGCCAAATAGTCAATTTGGTTAATGGAGTTTTTCTCTAACATCACATAACTGCTCAGTGCATGCATATTTGTGTTAAATGTGTCATCTTTATAGGTCAGTTTCTTTGCCCCATCAGCCAATCTGTTGCTGGCTGTGATCCCGTCTCAGCTCTCAATCAGATGTGCCCTCCAGCCACTGTAACATCCTCGCTCCCCTGTTTAAAGCAGGGCCATCAGGAACCCCGGCTGCATCAATATTCCCCATATCATTTTTATCTCCTGTGCCACAAACCAGATGCTGAAGCATTAGATAGAGGTTTTAGCAATCACTCTGGCAACCTGCAGCTTCGTGCTCTCTGGATATTTAAAGGCTCTTCAGTTTTCTGCCCTGTGTGAGACAGCAAAGGCGCACATTTGATGAGTTAATTACAGGAATATAGAGTTGGAGGCAGCAAGCACGTTGATATGCATGCACGGGAACACACTGTGCATATACACTTCAGAGACAGAATGTAATCATTGACCTGGGGATTTAAATGAAGTTGAGTTCAGCTGAGCGTGGCTTCACATGCAAATGGAGATTGTAACTCTGCATCTAGATTTGATGTCAAAGCACAGAGAGAATGTAATAAAACCTGTTTTCCCTTCTTGTTTGCATTCTTTGAAACTCCTCAGTTGCATGAATAAATAATTTCCCTTTTATTTAGGCCAAACTTGTCAACAAGACAAAAGGAGCCAAAAATACAAAGCTGGTTATAATCCATGAGCCGCAACGACTTTGAGAATACAATTCCAGCTTGTTCTTTCATGACAAATAACAAGGACCATGACACAGCAGCAGCAGCCACAAAAAAAGCAATGAAGATGAACAGCAGTATCTGATATGGTGCGTTATAAAGAAATATAATACTTTTCTGCAAAATGTTTTGCTGTCCTTTGTGTTTTATGTGATTATGCTGCAAGAATTATTAAGTATGTTATTTTTCTCAGCCTCCACAGTAAAACAAAATGTCTGTTTTTTAATGTAACACATGTTAACTTTTACTGATAGTATTTGTGCAACTGTTCAGCTAGAATCACTGTATTAAAGGAATATTTCAGCTATGCTTCTTTCCTAAATCAAAACTATAACTAATCACTTTTATGCATTTTGCAGAAACCTTTGTGAACGGCCCCCCGTCCAGAGGTGTCATTCACAGCCAACAGGAATGATAAGCTAACGGCTAGTCCAAACACATTTGAGAGCAAAGATATTTTCTTCTGTATTTTGTCAAATGTAATGTTACTTCATAGAGATTTACTTAGCAATTGTTTATTTCAGTCATTTTTAGAAACATAAATAGATTCCTGGCAGATTTCAGCCCTGTGTGCCCCAGCAGTACAACAAAGATGCACATGTGAGTAATTTAATGGAAATTTAAATGTTCATAAAATAGTTTTAATGAGTTTTGAAATACCAGCAGCAACAAACTTTGGTCTTCGCTGAGCTCAGACTAGCTGTTAGCTTGTCAACGTTGTGGGACAAACTATTTCCTCAAGCAGAGGCTGTTCAGGAAGGTGTCTTACATTAGTTGGATTGACAACTTAGAAGTTTGTTCAGATTATTGAGTTTGTATCTGAATTTCCACCTCACTGCTTTGCTTGGTCACCTAGCCGGGCTATGTGAGAATGAATCAAATTGTCAACGACAAGCAAGATTCTCTGACCCCCCCCACCCCCCCCCCCCCCCCCCCCAAAATCTGCAGCTACTACATCTATTATTGCAGGATGAGGAAACAAGAAAGAACAGATCCCAGATAGAGGTTCTAAAACCTGGATGGAGCTACCAAGCAAAAGTTTTGCTTCTGCTTTTAATTTTCTTGAGTCGTCTTGTGTGTTTGGTGAGCTGAAGGCCGTATTTGGATGAAAAATTGATTATTCTATTCTATTATCTGAAACACACATATGTGAAACATTCTTTTAAAATCTGTCAACTGTGACTTTTTCAGTCAGCTCAAAGAACCAGCCTTTAAGAAAATGAAGAAATAAAAAGCAGGCTTGGTTTGATTACATCTGGTTTATGTCAGGTAGAATGATGAGCTGCATGGTGTTCTGTTGTGTCAGTGGAATGTGTGTGTGCGGTTGTTGAACTCTAAACAGTACTTCCTGCGCTGTGTGACCAAACCAACATCCACTATGATGGGGTAGATTCCCAGTCACATCCAGGATGTGGCAAATCTTACATGCATAAATACAGTGGGGCAAAAAAAAAAACAGTTAGCCACCATTTGTGCAAAATCTCCCACTTCAAAAGATGAGGCTTGTAATTTTCTAGGTTGCTAGACGCACCCTCTGTGTAGAACAGACAGAGGATGGGTCTGGATACTCAGGCCCTGTCCACACGTAGCCGGGGATCTGCCAAAACGTAGATATGTTTCTACATTTTGGCCTGTCATCCACACGAAAACTGAGTTTTTCACACGAAAACTGATCTTTTTAAAAACTCCGGCCAAATTGAAGATCTGCATTTTCTCCGTTTTGGGTGTCTGCGTGTGGACGGACAAAACCGGAGTTTTAAGGTCCGCAACGTCACTTTCCGCGACAAAAAAATGCTGACATCACGTGTGCGACCTGTGTTTACACTAGCCGGCATCATGGAAGCCCTCAGAGCTGCGCTCTGTCACTACCCGATCCATCAATTGTCCAAGCGCTTTCTGCTTGTTTGTGTTTGCAAGCAGAATTACTGCTCCTTGCGGAAGATCACAGACGAAGGACGAGGTTAAGAACGGGGGAAGTACTGCTGCCTACAGGTCTGGCATGTCCATAACAACGTATTTATCCGGGTACGTGTGGACAGAGTTTGTTTTTAAAACGCGGTGGTGTGGATGCAAGTTTTTGGAGGGGCGGATATTCGTTTTTAAAAAACTACGGCTACGTGTGGACTAGGCCTCAGAGGCAGAGAGCACTATGAGGGGAGGGACTAGCAAGCAAAAAAAAAAAGCAAAACAATCAGAAAGAAGGCAAAAATGATGGCTGTATCACGCAACACAGGTTTTTTTTAGCTGTAGTCAAAGATGGTGTCTGGTGATGGCGCAAAAGTCTTTCTTTAGAGCAAAGGCTTTTAGTGCTTCTTTATGTGGTTTGAAAGACAGGTCCAAGTCATTTAGAACTGAGGAAAGAGCCGCAGCAAACTTCAGACGCCATCTTCGTTGTTCATGAGAAACTGAGCGTCGTGGTGTGTGAGGTACGCTGCTCAGCACCGATTGGGTCGGCTAGAATCTCAGGGGTGGGATTATTTGAATGGGAGCGTTCCTAGGCCCTTTGCTTCCCATAAGGAAGCATTGGCATGGCTGGCCAGGCTAGTAATTTTCATCATAGGTATACCTCAACTATGAAAGACAAAATGAGAAAAGAAAATCCAGAAAATCCCCTTTTTTAGATTTTAAAAAATGCATTTGCAAATTATGGTGAAAAATAAGTATTTTGTCTCGTACAAACAACAATCTTTCTAGCTCTCAAAGACCTGTAACATCTTCTGTAAGAAGCTCTTCTGACCTCCACTCGTTACCTGAATTAATGGCACCTGTTGGAACTCACTATCAGTATATAAGACACCTGTCGGCAACCTCAAACTGTTACAAATCCAACTCCACTATGGCTAAGACCAAAGAGCTGTCAAAGGACACCAGAACCAAAATTGTAGTCCTGCACCAGGCTAGGAAGATTGAATCTGCAACAGATATGCAGCTTGGTGTTACAAAATCAACTGTGGGAGCAATAACCAGAAAGTGGAAAGCATACAAGACCAAGTTACAAAGGCTATCAGTAACAGACTACATCACCAGGGACTCAAACCCTGCAGTGCCCGGCCTGTCGACATGTGCAGGCCTGTCTGAAGTTTGCTAGAGAGCACTTGGATGATTCAGAAGATGATTAGGGGAATGCTATATGGTCAGATGAAAGCAAAATAGAACTTTTTGGAAAAAACTACGCTCTGTGTTTGGAGGAGAAAGAACGCTGAGTTGCATCCAAAAAACATCATACCTACTACAGAGCATGGGAGTGAAAACATCATGCTTTTGGGCTGTTTTTCTGACAAAAGGAACCTGGGGCTTCATTTATGAACCATACTTATGCACATATCTCTGCGTATCTCGAACAAATTTATGTTGTATGTGGTATTCTTCATTCTGTACTTGTGCATGGAAATGTTCCTAATTATGGGAAAACCTCAGACCATGCTTAGGAACAGCATCTAGTGGTAGAACGGAGGAACCACAATACTGAAGGTCTCAGTTGTCCACACATGTTCCCCATCCACAAATGATTTTACCCATTAGATAATTATTTCAGTGGAAAAACCCGTCTCATGACACAAACAGGATAAACAACGCTCTGGTCGGCAGCCACAGTGGAAAGACTCGCTGAATCACAAACGAACATCCCCAAATAATGTCACGAAGCCAAATGCAAAGTTTAGAGCAGAACATTGACCCAGAGTTTTCCAGATCGAGCAGATGTGTGAGAATAAATGCAACGACCGCTTAGAGACGGCACAAGTTACTGCCATCATTGATTCTGGTGTGTTCATTCAACAATTTATTATATTTTATGTCCACATCTTAATGCATCAATTATTAGATTGTTTTCCTCAGCTCTACCGAGCACCCCAGCTAAACAAACCAACACGCTACCTAACTCAGATTTTTCAGATTCAGATTCAGATTTCAGATTTATTGGCCAAGTAAAATTACATTTACAAGGAATTTGTCTTCGGTAGATGTTCTGATTGGTTATTTGGTGTGTCAGTCAGAATAGCAAAAGGCATCACTCGGCTAGGAGAAAAAAACAAATACTGTGTGCCCATAGAGATGTCCAGAAATAATAGAACATATGGGTGATAGATTAGAAAATAGACGGTTCTACAATCTCCGGAGTTGTCACATTAATCACATTAATCTTATATTGTCAGATCCCACGGCCCTTGATCCTAGGAGTTAAAGCACAAACATACTTTTATTTTTCATTTTTGTCAAACTCTAATTTTGATCAATTATCAATCAGAGGCTCGGAGCAGACCCGCTGCTCCTCCACATCGAGAGGAGCCAATTGAGGTGGCTCGGGCATCTGCCTCCTGGACGCCTCCCCGGTGAGGTTTTCTGGGCACATCTAACCAGGAGAAGACTGAATACTTTTTAAATAGGATATGTCGGAGTGACTGTGTCTCTCACCTGGCCAGGGAATGCCTTGAGGTTTCCTCAGAAGAGCTGGCCCAAGTTGCTGGGGAGAGGGAAATCTGGGCTTCTTGACTTGGCTGTTGACCCCACGACCCGACTTCGGATAAGCGGAAGAAAATGGATGGGTGGACTAATATTCACTTTAAGTGTGACTTTCCTTTCTGTAAACTCCTAAATCATGAGGGTAGTGGCCTCAGAAGGAATGGGAAGTGATAAACGTCACTCATCTCACACAGATTCACAAACATTGCAGTCGAAGGAGAGCAGAATAGGAAGCCTTTTGCTTACATTGGAAGTGAACACATAATTTATTATAAATATTCGTTTACATAACAACTCCTACTTTTGTCTAAATTTATATACCTTGTTCAACCCATCCTGTACATGGATTTGCATGTGCACACTGTATGCTGCTGATGTTACAAAAGACCATGCAATATCTACAGTACAATATTTATTACATCTATGAAACTCACCTTTGTTCTCAATAAATAGTAATAAATTATCCACTTTTTTATGTACATGTTATTGCACATAAAAGTAAATACCGCTTTGGATCAAGGTTTTCCCTTTTTCAAGTTGGCCTGATGTCAGTTTTAGCTGCTTGTCTGTAGTCCTTTGTTAGAAGTAGTTCCTCTTACTCAACATCCTCAGATGAAAGACCTTTCATCGGTGCATCTTTGTCCTCAAATGTTACTTTTTTGTTCCTTTTTGGGTCAATCCATGAGTTGTGAATAATGGCGTTATTTGGGGTGGGATCGGCTTCAATGATTGACACTACTCGCTTCTTCATCTTGCTTTTCAAGGCTTTCTGGAACTTCTGACGTGTGAAGGCATAAAGCAGAGGGTGAAAGATTGTGGTCCCATAAGCCATCACCAGAAAGCCCAGCCTCAACTTGACCATGAGGTCGCTGGGGCCTATGCTCAGGATGACAGTGTTGAGAACAGTGATGGGTGTCCAGCAAAGCAAAAAGGTTGACACAATCAACAAAGACATCCTAAAAACCCTCTTCTGGCGCTCTCGCCTCTCCCTGTGGCGCTTCACAGCCCGACGCAGGGCAATGATGACAGATACAGAGGTACGCATGCCCAGGGTGGGATTGCGGCTGCCACTGCTCTGAGAACCATCTGTGGCCTCCTGCTGTGTTGTCATGGCTGTCATGGATGGACGCTTTTTCCTGCGAGCCTTTTTCTTCTGTGAAGCGTGAAAACGTGTGCCGATGCGAATGTTGAGTGCCTGTAGGATCTTTGAGTAAGTAATGAGCATCACAATGGCAGTGAAGAAGAAAATAGGGATCTGAGCAAGCAAGTGGTAATAGAGGCCCAGTTCAGTGTAATATTGGTTTGTGTGAACAACGTTCTCCACCATTGTCTGGTTCAGTTCAGCGTGGCCTTGAGCAAAGAAGCCCACTTCGATAAAGGGTATGAGAAAACTAGCAAAGGATAGCACCCATATGCTAGCCAGCAGGACCAGAGCACGGCCCATGGTCAGCACTCTGTTGGCTGGTTTCACTGAGATGTCGTAGCGGTCAAGGGTGATGGCTAGCACGTTGGCAGCAGTGGCAACACTTGCAAAAGAGACACAGGCTTCGTGGAAGCAACACACAAGAGCAGTGTCTCCTTCCAGGGAAAGCAGCACCACTACAATGGTTAAAGGGATGCAGCACACACACACCAGCACATCCAACACGTGGAGGTTCATCGTGACTATGTTGCTGACAGAGCTAATGAGGTTTGACTTCATGCAGTAGAGGGCGAGCACGGTCAGGTTAGAGCTTAGCCCCAGTAGGATCTCCAGCATCAGGAAGCCTGTCAGGGAGACCTGAAAACTGACGGGGTAGGAGTACGGGCCGGGGGTGGCCGGACTCATGGCGTGGCTGATGGGTTCTGTGTTGTCGGTGACCGTGACGTTACTCATGGTGGCTTCTTTTTCTGAGCAGAGAAGAATATGCATTATCCTACATGTGAGAAGGAGAGAGGAAGAATTTATGAAGATTAAAGCATCTCTAGGAAGACGCAGCTGAAAGTATTTGATAAACATTTTGTGAAAACAATTTTGAAATTAAAAACAAGATGCACAACTTTTTACTGAATTAGTCTAATAATGTCCCTTTTTATGCTTTGTGCTCTAATGTGTTCACGTTTTTTACCTAGGCTTTGTCATGCATGTTTTATTTTTCAATTTTATCTTTTTCTATGAAACACACTCCTAAGTATGTAATATGTTTTGGTTTTGTACTTGGGTTAGGTTCACATCACTCTAAAGTTTGGTTAAATAAAGTAAATTAATTTTTTTTTATTTTTTTTTTTTTTCATAATCTGGATTCTGTGAGAGTAGCTTCAGGGGAGACAATATTTGCAGTGGTCAATTTTAGTTTTAATTTTTGTCCAAATCTAGCAATAAAATCAAATTTGAAAACAGACAAGTTCCAACTCTAAGTGGTGAGTCAAAAAACGCTTCATCTGTATTAGAAAAAATTCAAATAAACATAATTACTGACAGCGTTGATCAAATGAAGTTCGATAATTTAAGATGAGTTTCTTAAATTTGATGTGAACATTTAGATGGAGTATGTGCAGAAAAAGAAAAGACCGTTCATTTACCCTTCCCTCTGAACACCAGGGCTGTGTAATCAGGGCATGCAGTCCACCTCAGATCCAAAAAGAGGAGCATTACATCCAGACAAACCCGTGGAAAAGTTATTTCCGGTCAGACAGATGTTTTTCCCTTGTCCTCAAAAGTAATAAATCAAAGGAAAGAGCTGTACTCAAATGTATGCAGCGGCTTCTTTCTCAGATCGCTTTTGCATTGGAGATGTTGTGACCCCTCGTTGAAGAACAAGATTTTGCTGGGTTCTCTTGTTTGTTATTGTCTGATGATATTCCAGGTCAGGAGAGATACAAAACCCAGAGAAACAAATTAACATGCGTGACTTTTCCTCTGCACAGCTCTGGCTCGTTGTGCATCCAACATCCAAATCTTTGCTTTCTCATTTGTCCACAACAAGAAGACAAGGAGTTGTGTTTGAGATGTGCAAATAAAAATATTAATAAAAACAGTTTCCATCTATTAGCATGTCCTCTAAAACTCAAACTTGTCAGTCAGCCATGTAGATTCCCCAGAGTGCAACATGTCCAGAACATGTTAGGAACAGGTCAGCGAGTTCGGACATCATCCACCAGGTCCTTGTCTCCCCCGAGAGCACTAATGGAAGAGGCCTTCACTCTCCACCTTTCCCATCAGTCTTCACTAACTGGATCCAGTCAACATTGACTTGCAAATCGACCACGGGTCTCCAGTTTGTCGCTGCGCCCCGAATCACCGGAGACGAGGTGAGTGTGTCCGTGTCCAACCACCATGACACACATGATCACCAAAATGTGTGTGTGTGGTTTCATTCAGCAGTGTATGGGAAGGTCGTCGTCCGAAAGAATGGCTTGACTTCAGGAAAAGGGAGGCTTGTAGCTACTTCAGATCTTTGGATTTGAGTAACCTGAAGGTTGAAAGAAAAGAAAAGAAAAGAAAAGAAAAGAGAAAAATAAATGAGAAAAAAACAGAGTGAGAACAAGCAGAGAGAGGAGAGGAAGGTGTTGGGGGATGGATCGAAACATTCTGATGCAACATAGATCCTCTCATTAAAACCTGCCTGTGAGGTTTTGCTTTCCTGCACCTGATGCACTTTGCTGCCATGTTACCACTTTTAAACAGGTTTGCACAAAAGAAAACTATTTAACAACTTGCCTTCCTGTTTTCTAAATCTATAATGAATATTTCAGATAATAACACTGATGAGACTTACAATGATCATGACTAGACGGACTCAATTTAATTTTCTGTGCAGTGTGATCCTTTGAGTAACCTGTTACAAAGACATGTCGTTGCACTTGAACCAAATGGCCTCTTTAGGGAGATGTTTCAGTCTTTTTACAAGGCTGTTACAATAAGAAGGCAAATACTTTAAACTATCATGCTAAAAAATGAGCAGAAATACAAAATGGTGGGATTATTAATTTCAAAGTTGCACAATTAAAGTTCTCGTCCTCACCAGAATAATATAAAATACCCATACACATGCAACTAATACAGAAAGTGAGTTGTGTGATGTTTGCATCTGATGCTCTGAACCGCAGAGACAGAATGTTTCAACAATACTGTCTGGTTGTTCAGAGACGTTTGAGCTTTTGTGGCTGTCATAATTCATGGGATGGCTGTATATTAAGACTATTGCTTCAATCTCACCATGCGAGGTGGGGACGGATGCTCCAGAGCTGCTGTGGTCACTACACCGTCTCCTCTCTATCCAACAGTTTGACTTCAACTAACGATGCAAATGGCTCATTTCATCTTCTGCCTCGTCCAAGAGCAGTTCAAGAATTGTTGTTGGATCCTTAAAAAAATATTCACTCATTCTTCTCGGTGTCAGAAGTCCATAAAGAGTAGTCCTTCTTGGATTATTCTCCTTCCTCTTGTCTTTCCTCTTCTTCATCCATGAAGACTGTAAATGATCCAACCAACTCTTGCTTCGCTCCCTCCCCGTCTCACTGACTGGATAGGAGTGCACACCACCACAGTCTTAGTATCTCTCTCTATCTCCCACTCTCTTCCTACTCTCTCACTCCCTCTCTCTCGCTCTTTTACTGCGGAGGTTTGCAGTGCTCCCCCAGTTCTGATTGGTCTGCAGTAATAGGCTTAACCCTTTTCTCTTCAGCAAGGAGGAGGTATTTATTCTAGCTCTGCCTTGTTTCTCTCTACCCCACATGCTGAATGTTTGAGGCGCAAGAATTTGATTATTTAAAAAAAAAAAAACTAAAAAAATAAAAACACAAAGATCTCTACTATCTTTTTTCCCCCAGAGGAGTGCTAACCTGCTGCTGAGGCTAAACCTGTGGGTTTGACATATTGGGCAGAAAACAGCAGAGAAAAGTGCAATGATTTATTAATTATCTCCGTCACTTTGTAACTAGCCAGTATTCTAGTAACGGTGAAGGGAATCATAAGAACGCCGGCAGAGAGAAGCAACATTTCTCGATTGATTTCTCTGCGCTTATATAAGTCTTAAAAGGGTAGATATACGTTCTTGCAGCTGTGAGTGGGAGAAATGCAGGAAGGAATAAAATAAAAGGAAAAAATAAGCAGAGAGCGAGAGAGAACTGCAGCACTGAGTGATAGTTTCAATTAAGTTGCTGTGTCAGATCAGTAGAGCTTGACCACCTTCTGTACCTTTGACAGAGGCAACTGCTGCCAAAAGGCTGTCCTCTCATGAGACAGCCTCTAGCAAAGACAATGAGATTAACAGTCACTCTGTAGGAACACCTGTACACCCACTTATTTGTGCAATTACCCCACCAGCCAATCATGTGGCAATGGCACGATGCACAAAATCGAGCAGATGCTCTGATTCGGTGCTTGGACCAGGATTTCTCTGCTCTTACAGGAGGTTGTTATAAAACAGGATTTAAAACCGAAAAGGCAGAGTGAGCTGTGATGAAAGAAGAAAAGTTTGTTCAAGTTGTCAGGTGATTTATTATGTCTCTGAAAACCAGTCTTAACAAATATTTTAAGAGTATTCAGAAATGTCAAACAAGGGCACTGATGGGCTGAAAGAACATCTTTGTTTCTTTACAACACAAAGCTAATCTACAGCTGAACAGTCGACGGCTGGAAAATATACCCTAGCTCGATGTATTGATGGTTTCATAAATTCTTGCTGGGATGTGGTGTCAAAAGCATAAATCTACACAGCCAACCTGCCTTTTATGAACATCTGGTGGTGGCAATATGAACCGAGGAATGTTGTTTTGACTGTTTAGGACCTTTGTGTCCAGTCTGTTATGACTCGTGTTTTGTATTTCACTATTTTTATTAATTGATCAGATGCTTTTATCCAAAGCAACTTCCAAATTTCCTGAATATTTTTGACTTCTGGGAGAAACCTGGAGAAAACCCATGCATGATGGGGAGAACATATGAAATAAACACTCCTTTTGTCCCTCTTCTTTTTTTGTTTCAAATTTAAAATTTTCTTTTATTTATTTTAAAATAGTTATTTATTTATTTAACCCTCTGATGCATGAATTATGAAATCTTCAACCATGACTTTTTAAACAATTTTTTCATTAATCTTTAGGTGTGAATGAACAAAATTTCAACAAATATTTTTTGTAATATTTTGTTAATTTACTAATAATGTATTACATGTCCATCTCAGTGGACAGCGTGCATTCTGAACATGAAATATGGTGGCTTGACTTACTGAAGTCCAAATAGAGGGGCTCACATGCAATAAAGTCTTCAACAGCTGTGCTTAACAGCAAAAATAAATAAATAACAATTTTGAGTACCTGTCCACTGTAGTGACCATTATGCATCAAAGGGATATATTGTATATCCCTTTTTCTTGTTATTTTTAATTATTTTGAAGTGCCTTGTGATTTTTATCTTGAGAGCTACTATATAAAAAGTGTGCTTCTTCTGCTGTGTTAAATATTCAAGTATATAAAAAAACTACTTCCAAAGAAAAGTGCATTAAAACACTTTGCAGTTTTCAATTAGCTACAACATAAAGGTTAAAGGTCAAAAGGTGTAGACTATAATGAACACAAACATTCTTTCACCTGGGATGCCGCTAGCCTGACACATTGATACTTACTTCCATGTGGTACCAAGCCAGGCTGAAAATGCAAGATTAGATGGTTGTTGGTCATTGATTGGTTAGGAGGTGCAGTCTCTGATTGGTCCAGAGTTTTACCTTGCTGCCTTCAGCTTTTTATGTTTTATTATTTTTTTTGTCTGAGGCCCAATACAAAAAAAAACGCACCGTTGCACCCTTCAACTGCGAAATCTCGTCCAGGGATGCGAGTGTGTAGGTTGTCCCGTTTCTTAAGTGCTGAAGTTGACCATGCACCTTTTGCACCCTTGATCCGCACTTCATCCAAGTCAGAATCAGAATCAGAATCAGAATAGGTTTATTGCCATTGTCAGTCAACAAACAATTCACAAACTAGGAACTTGCTTCGGTACTAATGTGCTACATATAACATGAATAATAAGATTAAAAATAGAATAAAATAGAATTTAAAAAAAAAACTAGAATAAAACTTTCAGCTATAAAAAATGGCAGGTAATGGTAACATGGCCGATAACGTGACGTTGTGTCGAGTACAGAAGACGAGCATGGTTGTGTTTTTATAATCTATTCACGGGTCTAACGGCAGATGGAAAGAAGCTGTTCTTATGGCGGGAGGTTCTGGTCCGGATGGACCGTAACCTCCTGCCTGAGGGGAGCGGCTCAAAAAGTCTGTGACCCGGGTGCGAAGGGTCAGCTGCTATCCGACCTGCACGCCCCCGAGTTCTGGAGACGTACAGGTGCTGGAGAGATGGAAGGCTGCAGCCAATCACCTTCTCAGCAGAGCGCACAATGCGCTGCAGTCTATGTTTGTCCCTCACTGTGGCTCCAGCGTACCACACAGTGATGGAGGAGGTGAGGATGGACTCAATGATGGCCGTGTAAAACTGCACCATCAGCTGGGCCGGCAGCTTGGCCTTTTTCAACTGCCGCAGAAAGTGCATCCTTTGCTGGGCCTTTTTGATCAGGGAGCTGATGGATGGCTCCCACCTAAGGTCATGTGTGATGGTGGTTCCAAGGAAGCGGAAGGAGTCCACAGTGGTGACGGGGGTGTCCGTCAGGACGAGGGGGAGAGAAAAGACAAAAGACTTCATGACTACAGACGTCAGCGCCCAGGCCTGTAATCATTCAGTCCAGTGATACAGGGTTTCTTAGGGACAGGGACAATGGTGGACAGCTTAAAGCAGGTTGGAACATGGCAGGACTCCAAGGAGATGTTAAAGATGTCCGTGAAGATAGGACACAGTACCTCTGCGCAGTGTCTCAGGGTAGCGGGGGAGACACCGTCCGGGCCCGGAGATCTCCGTGGGTTTTGCTTATGGAAGACCCTAAGCACATCCTCTTCTGTCACTGAGAAGGCAGTGGAGGGGGAGGGGTGGTCAGCGGGGACTGTACTATTCACAGTGGTGAAGGTGGTGGGGGAGGCATGTGACACCAGAGTGGCTGAAGAAACCTGTGCAGTAGGGGGTGTGGGGGATGGGTGTTGCATTTCAAACCTTGCATAAAAGGAGTTGAGTTGTTCAGCCAGTTGTAGATCGTCAGCAGCATGTTGGGCCCTAGGCTTGTAGTTGATGATTTGCCTGAGCCCTCTCCAGACAGAGGAGGTGTCATTGTCAGATAACTGCTCCTTTAAACGCATATTGTACCGGGATCTTGCCTTCTTCAACTCTTTTGGTACTTAGCGCCCTTGTAGCTTTCTCTGTCCTTGGCTCTGTGGGCTGCTTCTTTCTCCCTCCTCAGCTGTCTCAGTTTGGGTGTGAACCACGGCTTATCACTGTTAAAAGTGACCCTGGTTTTTGTTGGAATAATGCTGTCCTCACAGAATTTTATGTATGACGTCACAGTGTCTGTATAGTCATCCAAGTTGTCTGTGGCAGATCCAAACACGTTCCAGTCTGTTGTCTCCAGGCACATTCGAAGCTCCTCCACAGCCTCGCAGGTCCACTTCTTAGAAGTTCTCACTGCAGGTTTGGAGAGCTTCAGCATCTGCCTATATGAGGGGATGAGGTGAATCATGGTGTGGTCTGAGAAGCCGAGAGCAGCTCGCTGCACGGCTTGATAAGCTCCACTGACTGTGGTGTAGCAGTGGTCCAGCGTGTTCTGCTCTCTTGTCGGGCATTTAACAAACTGTTTGTACTTAGGCAATTCCTGGCTCAGATTTCCCTTGTTAAAGTCACCGAGGATAATAACTAGAGAGTCGGGAAAGGTCTGTTCCACACTTAGAATCTGCTCCGCGAGCGCACGTTGAGCCTCGTGCACGTCCGCGCCAGGCGGGACGTAAACAGTGACCAGAATGAATGAAGCAAACTCACGTGGGGAGTAGAATGGCTTATAGTTTATGAAGAGGAATTACAGGGCAGGAGAGCAGTACTGGGAAATCACAGTCAAATCCGAACACCAGGCATTGTTGATGTAGAAGCAGACACCTCCACCTTTTGTCTTTCCTCCGGATAAGACCCGCTGTCTGTCTGCGCGGAGGAGCTGGAATCCCTCCAAATGGAGCGCACAATCCGGGATCTGCTCGTTGAGCCACGTCTCCGTGAAGCATAAGACAGAAGAGGAAGAAAAGTCTCTGTTTCGTCTCATCAGCAAAGCAAGTTCATCCGTCTTGTTGCTAAGTGAGCGGACATTGGACAGGAAGATCCCCGGTAAGGGCGTACGTGAGCCGCGTCTTCGTAGACGCACGAGCACTCCCGCACGATTCCCTCTCCTACGGCTTCTCACTTTCTTAATTAAAAAGTGGACCAAATCCGCCACACCCACTAAAAAAAGTGGAAGTAGGTCCAACGGCGTTGATGTTCTGACGTTTAGAAGCTCTTCACGGGTGTAAGAGCACGCTGACACACAATTTACAGACAAAAACAAACAAAACACGACGCACGTTAGCACCAGGGTGTCCTTCCTCCGCGCCATCTTGGTTCAAGAAATCATATCAATCAAAGAAATCAAGAAATCAATCGAGAAATCAATCAAGAATTCAATAAATCATATCAATCA